GGTCTCCTTAAATAGGAGATTACAAGAGTCCTAATCAAAGGGAGTCTCCTTGCTGAATAGGGAGACTTCCAGTTCTATCTTGCTAAGGATAAGATAAGCTAATCCTAATCTRATAARCTACTAACAAGATAAGATAAGAGATAAGAACAAACCTAATCTGATAAGGATAAGAGATAAGAACAATAAGATAAGAACAAGAAAAATGAGCTAATCTAATCTAGATAAGGTTGTTGTTGCCGAACTGGGTAGGATGAGCATCACTGAATCACTGCTGCTGCTGGCGATGGGTCAGGTGCTTGTTGCTGCCAGCGGCGAAGGTACGTCTTCCCGAGGAAGGCGTCCATAACAATATTTATTTTATAGTAAAAATAGAAGGTCTTTTATGGGTAATGATGAATAATCTTCAAGTGCTTTACTATATCAGGGACCCTCAAACACACCACCCCCAAAAGGAAAAAGAAAAAGAAAAAGGAAATGAAAAAGAATCATTAGCTAAGATTCCTGTTGTGGTGCCCCAGAATAACTGCTCCCTACTAACTCCTTGTCTTGCCAATGCATCTGTTAAACCATTTGCTGTCCTGCTGACCTACATAAATGTGGATCTCAACCCTTGCAGTTCCATTCACTTATCTTATGGTATGCCTGTAGCACCGTGCACCTGCTCTTTGATTTATAGTCCTCTCAATTTTCAATAATTGCAACAAAGCTAATAATTCTGCCTTAACGTAGTTTACATATCCGATGGGGCCCAGAAATAATGCCAAAACTGTACCTTCCTCGTTCATGAAAGCACCTCCTATCCCTGCTGATCCAGGATTACCTAAAATGCATCCATCAAAATTCGATTTAACCACGCTTGGTGGCAGATAGATATCATATATACAGAATTCAACTTCCACGAGAAAGTGGTAATGACAGAAGCTTCAACTTTTTTCCAATACGTCCCCTATATATTCCCAAGCATGATGCAAATTCCCTTTGCAAAGTTGACTAACCAAAGAGTATAAAACAGTTTCATCAAGAATGTAACCCATTCCAAACAAATAATCTAAAACCAGTAAAGCATCGTCCAACCTACTACTTGAAGAGAGATATTGAACCAATCTCTGAAAGGTCTCTGCTTACTCCTTAACATATTGATCAACCACTCCATGCTCTCCTTTGCATTTCCGGCTTTACACAATCCAGTAATTATATGATCACAAGTACATACCAGTGGCTCCAAACCCCTATTCCGCATGTCATTCCACAACTCTATTGCTTCTTGTGCATTCCCCATGTCACAAAGTGCTTGGATAAGAGGAGTGTAAGATGAGATGGTCGGATGCATTCCCATCCCCAAGATTTCATAGAAAAGGTCCATAGCCTCCAGTGCCTTCTTTTCTTTGCAAAGGCCCTGAATCAGAGTATTGTATGTCACTACATCGCGTTCAATTCCCTTCTTGGGCATTTCTTCGAAGAGTTTATGCGCTTCATCCATTTTCCCATGTAAACAAAACCCAGCAATCATGGTGTTATAACTCACCGTGCTTTCTCTATACCCTCTTTCACACATCTCTCTACGCAACTTCTGAGCCATTTCTAAGTCACCCATCTTACTATAACCACCAATAAGTACATTATAAGTATATGTATTTGGAATGAACCCCTTCCTAATCATCTCGAACAATAGCTTCCTCCCTTCACCAATCAAACCCATTTTACAGAGACCATCGATCATCGTCGTGTACATACCCTGTCGGGAGAATACCCTCTCTCCTTTAGGTCACAAAAAATCCGAAAAGCTTCTTGCCTCATTCCGTTCTTGCAGAGCCCATTTATGATTTCCTGACAAACGAATATGTCAGGAGTCCGTTTCTTCGCGATCATCAAATGGAGAAGCTCCGAGACTTTTCCATAATTCCCATCCTTGCAAAACCCAGATATCAATTTGGTAAAAGCAACATTATCAGGGACATGCCCGGCTTCTAAGACTTGCCGAAGAAGCTCATAAGCTTCCGAAAGCTTTTTGTCCTTGCAGAAGGCTTGAATGAGATATCCAACCGTATCCACATTGCCCACAAGGCCRGATTCCATCATCTCCCCATATAGTTCCCAAACAAGATCGGTCCTCCCAATCCGAAGAGAACCCAA